GAGCATGCAAATGTGATTTAATTATTAAATATTTATTTTAAAATCTCAGTGGTACTTCAAGTAAACATATTAGGTGAAAGAGGTTCAGATGACAAAAACGTTTGGGAATCCCTGCATTACATGTAAATAAGAAATAGCAGGCTGTGCAAATTTGTGCATTTTAATGTGTTTGAAAGACAAAAGCCTTCCAAAGACACGGTAATACATGATTAAATAACCTTAATTAATGTGTTCATCAGTAGTTGATGCAATGTTGAAACCCATCTTAAACCTGAACTGATTTTTGTAAATCCAGTGGTCAAATGCTATGTGGCCGCCTGACTAGTGACTGATCTCTGTGTGAATGTCCACAAAACAGACTTTCTGAATGAATATAAGCGGTAGTATATTTTAGAAAGGAAAATTTAAAAGATGAAGAGGAGTTAGGGAGAATCAATAAATTCTGAATAATTTATTGCTATTGTGTGAATAATATGTAATCATGTAATCCATAAAAAGTAAATGTAGTCTGATTAGGAGTATTTTGAAATGTAATTTCATATATATATATTATTTTCAGAGTATAATGTTTTAATAAGGTCCCATTACCCCTTCAGTGTTGGGGGTAACGCACTACAGGTAACGCGATCAGATTACTGTTTTCGAGTAACTAGTAAAGTAACGCATTACTTTTTAATTTACATAAAAAATATCTGAGTTACTTTTTCAAACAAGTAACTCCAATTACTTTGTTTTCCCATGTATTGACTCCTGTCTCCATGTAGAGAGAAATCCGGAGCGAGTGTAGAGGCGTTGTGTGCGCAGCAGTGGCGGGAAACACGGTCACTTTGGCGGGTTGAATTTTGTTTATACAGGAACAGAGCTCGATATTAATGCTTGTCTGGGACAAGTGGATTTTTTGAAGGGGCAAGAGAAAGAGAATTTTACCAGCCCGACCGGACAACTAATCTGATTAAAACATCTAATTAAGGAAGCAGCGAAATTTCGGCGAGAATGATTATAATTTTATTACTTTTGGTGTAAACGGTGACTGATAATGAATAATATATTGACAGAAACAAAGTCGCGCAGCCCGTGAGTGTGTGAGACAAACCGAAACAAATGAACACAACTTCACACAGAAGAAACATACACAAAAAAACACAAAAAATTTTTAGTTTTTACATTTATAACCAGGGCCGTATTAACCATTGGGCTAGGCCCGAGCAAGGAGGGGGACTGTGATTGGCTGTGGGGTAAATTGACTGGCGTGCCGATAGCCAAAGCCACCACGCCCCCCTCTTATTAGCGTTGTTATTTAGTTGAGCTTTTCCGTAAATTCCATGCATTACCATTTGAGATTGAAGCGTAAAGTCTGAATTTGGTTTACCAATCAAATGCATTTATTCAATATTTGACATTTGAACAATATGTGCACTAATCTTTTAGGTGATCGCTGCCCAGTAGCCTATGTCTGCATTCTCTTACCAAAAAGTAGTATACTTCGTTTATTTTAGTAAGTATACTTAAGTAAAGTTCAAGTATATTTTTAAGTATACTTTATTGTAGTAAGTATACAAATATCAGTGTACTAGTAGTATACTTGTAAGTGTACTATTTCAATACTCCTTGGGACTAAATTGGCCCACTTTCTAGTATATAAAAGTATACTTTTAAGTATACTTTAAGTATAACAGTAGTAAACTTTGAGTACACAACTAGTTTACATCAAAATGTTTAGTTTGTACTGCAACTATACTAAAAGTGAACTTATAGGTATACTGATAGTTTACTAATTAAATACTTGTAGTAGCATTTTTAGTACACTTTGAAGTATAGTCTCAGTAAACTACTAGTTTAGTAGTTTTATACTGCAAGTATACTCGTAAGTTTTCTTTAAGTGAACTTTACATCATACTTTAAGTATACTACTATGTCCCTATTTAGGTATTAATTTGTATATATTTTGTTACATGAATATCTGAACATACAAAACATCAAAAGAACAGGGTATCTGCTTGTAAACAAAAACATTTTTTTCTAGCTTCATGCATTCTTTTTTTAAACACTTGAATGTGGATAAGTTTCATAAATAAAAAATAAAGAAATAAACAACATTTTGAACAAAAAGCTGAAAAAAGACTATGAATTGGATTCAGAATGATAATCAAAACGTAGATAAAGTCGATCAACACCCCAAAGCTTGACAGTTATTATTGCCTCTTCATTGGTCGACATTTTATTCCATAATGTTACATAGTTTTGATACTGTTTTATGTCTGATGATCGTGTTAGAATACATGTGGAAGCATTTGTTGTTTCGGTTTCTTCTTCACTTGTGTTTTTTGGTAATTCTGTACAGAAGATGTGTACTAGCGCCCTCTACAGTATAACAATGAAAACGCGGATTCTAGGAGCACAATTATAGCAAAAATATATTTAGACTTTTTCTGAGTATAAGTCAAGTATACTTAAATGTCATTTTAAGTATATTTCTGAGAAGTACATAAAGCCCATTTCTGAGAAGTACATAAAAAGTAGACTAAAAGTATACTTTCCTATTTTTAGTTTAAAAGAAGTATACTAATAGCACACTTGAATAAACTTATTTTTCGTAAGGGATATCACAAGAGGAGGGGCAAAAATAGGAACAAAACATGCTATTGAAGCTTATCTTCATTGATTATTTATATATACACTATTGTATATATTCATTTATTATCTAATGCATCTTGAAGTTTGAAATCAAATGTGCATTTTTCAGATGTCGAGTCTGACTTTGAAAGTCAGTATACTGTACTATGGAGGGCGGCTTGTGACAGGAAGTGATGTCAGTAGTGGTGATCTGGTGTCCTTTGTGCTATATGAGCTTCAGTTCACATCAGCTGTGGAGGTAAGACTTCAGATTCTGTCTGTTTGACCACAGACATCATGCTAAACAAGCATCACTATTTAAACAAAACCCTAACGCTTAGTATTAAACTTTAGGAATGCCCTGCAACCACTCACAACACACTAGCATTGCTGTGGCATGGGAAAACACCACTTTTAGTTTGCTTTTGTGGCTTTAAACCAATGCCTCTTCTATCACAGGTACTGATGTCATACTGGCCGCATGTAAAGAAGGCAGTCGGTGCTTCAGAGAAAATCTTTGAATATGTGGACCGAAAGCCTGATATTCCTCCAGATGGATCCCTCGCTCCTCAAACTCTCAAAGGACATGTGCAGTTCAAAAAGATCACCTTTGCTTATCCAAAGCGACCGGACACAGATGTGCTGAAGGTATGTATTGAAAAAGCTCAGTAAAGATGTCCTATTATATTTCACAAAATCAAAAGAAAGAAATCATGTTTTGCCCAAAGAAAATTAAGTATGTTTAGCATTATGCAGTCTCTCCAGGATTTTGCGATTCTGCGATCGCTGAATTTATCGCAAAATCAAGCAAACTCCGCAAGAGCTCGCAAATGTTCGTAATTGCTGCAGATTTTCTGCAGATTTTGGGCTTAGACGCATCCCGTGACGTCATCGCAACACGCATTCAGTCAAAGAAAGGTTGTTTCTCAGTTCCAAAAAATGGAATGGACAGCCTTGCGTTCTCATCATGACCGATTTACAAGAGCTACATTGGACAAACAAACCAAAAGCGGAACGAATCCGCGTTACTCGTTTGGGCTACGCAGCGCAGACCGTTTATCTGCTCGGGCTGATCTCGATCACGCGACACAGCGCTGGGAGATACAGTGAAGAAAGCAGTCCAATTCGCCGCAGAATCAATAACATCTCTGTGAAATCTTGTGAGAAGCATTCAAATTCGGCGCAGAATTCTGTTAAAGCTACAGATATCAGAACAAGCGCCACTGATGTGGAAACCAGGAAAAACATTGTTCAATAAACACAAATCACCACCACGTTTCATAATGTAGGAAAGCAAACACTTATTTAAAAATAAAAAAATACATTAAATTACCACTAGTAGATGGCTGCAGAAAAGTACTTATAGGCTTATTAGCCATTTCCACTCCCTAATGTATATTTTTTGTATTTATTAAATTATGTTTAGACATTATGAATGACAGTCATAAAAGTTAACTTTATCTGCATCTCAACTACCCAGACAGCACAAGTACATCTGTAAGACGTCTGCTAAAGATCTGGGAAACATCTGCTGTGCAATCTGATAAACATCTTAGAGACGTATTGCAGATGAGCAAACACTCTAAAAAATACATCTTGCATATGTAAATGCAGAAATCAAATAGACATTTCTGAGATTGGGGTGAGTGCTTTACTGTCAGGTTCTGGTGGCACCTTCTGTAGAACTTAATGGCACTAACCTCAAATGTTAGTCTGGAGCCCTACAATGGTTCTTGAAGTCAGAAAAGTCATAACAATGTTAGAAGAATGTTGTCTGTGGTATATTTTCACTGCAAAACAATAAGAAATGCTGCAAATATCACCGCAAATTTTGAGAAATGCCGCAGCAAAATCAGTCATTTTAGGCCGCAAAAATCAGAAAAAAGTCCTGCGAAATCCTGGAGGGACTGATTATGACAGTGAAAGACATTTTAATATTTTCATTACTTTAATGCAATTAAAATTCTCATTCTCTGTACTGTCAAAAAAAATTCTCATTCTCTGTACTGTAATGGCAAAAACAGATTGTCAAATATTTATACAGTTATAAATATTATACATGTTATATTTAAATAATTTGTTGCTGGCCTTTCTAGAACGTTTCTCTTGAGCTGAAGCCAGGCCAGATCACGGCTCTGGTGGGTCCATCAGGTTCTGGAAAAAGCACTATTGTGAGTTTGCTGGAGAGATTTTATCAGCCTCAAAGTGGGAAGATTTTACTGGACCAGAAGCCACTGCTGGAGTACAAGGACCAATATCTACATGAGAAGGTAATCCTATTCTTTTCTATATACACTCAAGAAAATAGGTACGAAAGCTGTCACTGGGGTGGTACGCTTTTGTACCTTATTTATGCCTAAAGGGTGCATAGTAGTACCTTAAAGGTACATATTAGTACCTACCTAAGTGACAGCTTTTTTTTCGGAGAGTGTACTAATAGCTGCATCTAAATAAATAAAAGTGACTTTCTTTGTTTGAATTCTTTGTTTGCCGACCTTGTTTAATCTCCACCCTCTTCAGATTAGTGTGGTGTCACAGGAGCCGGTTCTGTTTGCTCGGTCAGTGCAGGAAAACATCAAATATGGCAAAGAAAATGCCTCGGATGAAGAAATGCGCGCTGCTGCCAAGCTGGCCAATGCAGATGACTTTATTTTGAATTTGCCTAAAGGATATGACACGGGTGAGTCTTAAAGGAATAGTAACATTTACAGAAAATTTACTTAGGACATCCAAGATGTACATGAGTTTGTTTTTCATTGGAGCAGATTTGGACAAATTTAGCATTGCATCACTTGCTCACCAATAGATCCTTTGCAGTGAATGTGTGCCGTGAGAATGAGAGTCCAAACAGCTGATGATGATGGATTTGTTTCATACAATCACACAGCTTTTCACTTCGTAAGAAGTTAACTGATGGACTGGAGTGGTGTGGATTACTTGTGGATTATTGTGATGTTTTTATCAGCTGTTTGGACTCTCATTCTGACAGCACCCATTCACTGCAGAGGATCCATTGCTGAGCATTTAAAGTTGGTTGAGAAAGTAACACATGTTGTTTTGTTATTCTCAGATGCTGGAGAGAAGGGCGGTCAGGTCTCCGGAGGTCAGAAGCAGCGTATCGCCATCGTCCACTTCTTCTCAGGTGTACAGCGCTCTGCGGAAGGAGCTGAAGAACTGTACGGTGCTGCTCATCACTCACAGACTGAGCGGCGTGGAAAACGCAGATCACATCATCTTCCTCCGAGAAGGGGAAGTGGCTGAGGAGGGGAACCATGAACAACTGCTAGCCAAACATGGATTCTATGAAGAGTTTGTGAATCAACAGAATACTTCAATCCATCGCAATACAGGAGACGTTACAAACTCCAGCCAATGATCTAGAGCAGCTGCTCTACAATTAATCTGAGCTTTCATGTAATACCAGCACAAATCTATGGAAGCCCGTTTCCGCCACTGAAAAAAAAAAAAAAAAAGGTAATTGCGACTTTTTATCTAGCGTATCGCCATCGCCAGAGCTCTGATTCAGAAACCACAGATTCTAGTGCTTGATGATGCTACCAGCTCACTGGACACCGAGAGTGAACACAGGGTAAGAGGCACACTTACTGATGCCGTATACACCACGAAAACAACCACCTGATTGAAACCATTTGGAAAAGCCCATACATGTACATTAGGGTTGAGTGATGTGTTGAATATTCACAGTATGTTTGCAATAATTTTGCATTAAGCAGCATTGTGAATATCACTTTCATCACAACCTTCTTTGAAATTTGGCCGTTAAGTTTGCTAAAGAGAATATCATTTCCAGTAGTAAGAAGTTCAGTTCAGTTCTGTGAATCATTTCGAGCTGCCTTAATGAATCGATTCAAAACTCTGTTTAATGAGTAATTTGCATCACATTAAATGCATTTAAATATATGTTAGACATTTTAAATCTAGGCCATTTAAGAGCAAATACATAAATATATATTTATACCGAATATCAAGTTTGAAAAATATTGAAATACTGAATCAATCTTTTTAATGATTAATTTGCATAATATTTTTAGTAAAACATTGGTGGGTAAATATATTTTTTATTCTTCTATGTTTTATTTTTATTTTTAGTTAATACTGTTACGCAATTTTAAATCTATTTTGTTAAGGTAAATTTATACCAAATATCACTTAAGTTTGAAAAATATGACACTGAATCTATTTAAAACTATATATATATATATATATATATATAATTTTATTTTTTTTTTTATCTCTCAATTATGACTTTTTAACTCGCAATTGCGAGTTTATATCACGCAATTCTGAGAAAAAAAGTCAGAATTGCGAGATAAAAAGTCGCATTTACCTCTTTTATTTTTTATTCAGTGGCGGAAACGGGTTTCCATACAAATCAGATGGCAAATCTTTGCATTTTTTTTCTCTATTAGCACATATTTCTCAGCTGTTCAAATGCTACTAGTGTTTTTAAATTAGGTGTAAATATCACAAAAATGCGAGCAAAAATATATGGGTGAATCTCAGTAAAATATGTCCAGGTTTCCTACTACATCAAAAGAAAATTATTTTATTGAAATGATTTTTTCCATATATAATTTTTAACCTAATTTTAGGGAATCTGTTTCATTTTTCACATTGTGACTTATCTTTTTTCCTAAACTCACATTATTATAATGTGATTTACTTTTGAGCCTTGCAATTCTCATTGGTGATTCTCTTCTCATTAAGTACACAGAATGAACCCCATATAATACAGTGCCTGCACACATATTATTTTTCATGGTGTTTACAAGAGTATCTATTAGACATGTATTATATTTCCCATGTATTGTGTAATACATAGCATTAAATTGCACGTGTGTATTTTTAGTTGCACTAAACAAATTTGTAAAATGTTTAAAATTGATTAGAAATAAAATTAAAATTAGGATTATTTTCTTTAAACAATTCTTTCTTTTATTTTCCGTTTTTATTTTTATTTATCCTTTTCCTTTTTATTTCTGGATAAAATATGTCCTGTTCTTGACATGTTTCCTGAGACTCACCCATATACTGTTAGTCAGGGCTTAGTATATCAATTGTAATACACTTTCCCAGCAAAGTACCTCAACCGTGTCTTTTTTTTTTTTTTTTGGTATTTATGTTTTTATGGTTGATATATGTTCAGGTTGTAAATAAAAGTAGTGCTTTGTAACTTTCATTAGTATGGCATTTTAAAACATTATTGCTTACAGTTGTTGATTATGGACATGTAATATAATGATCTATTAATGAAAATAATAATAAAGTGCTACCAATTATTATTATTATTATATATATATTTTTAAATAATGTCCATAACTGTTGACATTTTTGCTTTTCATACTCTTATAAGACATTTTGGGACCATTGATCATTGAAAAAAATCCTGTAGTACTAGAAAAACACATACTCATTTAGACTTGCATTGTAGCACACATCCATACAAAATAAAAGTTTAATAGGTGAATCAGAAACAGTATTTTACAAAAAATAAATAAATAAATACATTTTATTATTTAAAAGTTTAAAAGATTGAAAAAGCTTTCGAGATCATAAGGACATTAAGGGTTACGAGAGAAAATATTTGCTTATGAATATGAAACTTAGAGGTTAACTATTTTTATATCGTTCAAAATATAATAAAGTAATTTAACAATGCGTGCAGTCAGTGTAGAAGCTTAATTAACATGCTAAATAAATAACAAAAACTTTATTAAAACAGTTAAGATTCCTTTAGTTTCTTTATCATCCTCACTAGTCACTCTGGTCACTCGTTACTACGCTGTACATGGGCGGTTCTAGCGCTGCGGAAGGACTTGACACTAAGCCAATAAGAAACCAGTTTCAGAGGCGGGACGAATTCTGATTGGTCAGTGGCGTTCTTATATAAAAACCCTGGAGCGGAAATTGAAAGGCGCCATTTGCTCGTTGGGCGGCGCGGGGTAGGTTACTCATAAGCAGTTGAATAACAATAAAACGGGGGCGAAAACGCAGGATTCCGCACCGCAAATCTACCCCGATCCATCCGAATGGAGGCGGCCATCAACCCGTCTCTTGACAGGTAGTATCGGCGTGCCTTCGGAGCCTATTAACTAATCCTGTGTGTGTATTTAATCACAAAGGATGAGTAAAAGGGAAGGAAGCGTTTGTTTACAAGTTCATTTGCCTCCTTCAATGGCAATGTAACTCATATTAAAACGGCTTTGCGTCTTTTAAATTGAGTTCCAGCTATTAAAATAACAGCATGCAGCGAGCATCACTGTGTTGTGGGTCTGTACTGCATCTTTTCCCTCCGCCATCTTCAGCATTTAAAGGGCTACACTGTAATAACACACACACACACACACTCACCATGGTAACCACCGTTCCTGTCGAAATACAATAGTTACTTTGGTTATTGATACAAACAGGCATGCAGCTATGTTAACATTTTTTTATATTTACACTGTTGCAATGTCATCTCCTAATGACTAATTAATCATGGCTTTATAGTGAACTGTTTACATTGTGGTACATTTTTACGGCATGCTAGTGTGCCATATAACTTATGCATCTCAGTGTTTTGCATGGCTTACATCTGTCTGATTGTGCAGCTCATTTGCATAAGCGCAGTGTGAATGAGCGATCTGAAGTGAATGGCTCGTGTTTGAGCTGTGGTTGGTATTAAATGTGTGTGCAGGGGTAGGGAGGGGTGGGTGATTCATGTGGCTGCTGTCCTGTGCTGATTGGGCATGAATGCACTGAACGCTTGTTTACAAACAGAGAATAGGCGGGACAGACTGAATGACATTTACTGAAGAGTCTCTTATAGTATGGTTTGCTATGCACTGATGATTTTGTCTTGCTGCTAATGCATAGTTTTCATGCGCAGATGAATTAATTTGATTGAGAATTAAGATTGAATTAATAAGATTGAATTAATGTGGCAGTAATAATTTATCCAGTGCATGTGTATTTATGCCTTGTAAACAATTTGTTGAAACAACGAGAATGAATTGTGATTTTGGAAGAATAAGAATAGAATGATGAACAAATCAGTAGTGTTCGACATTGAATGCTATTGTTTTCCAGTTTTTTTAACAAACATAAACATCTAAATGATTTTTTCTTACACGTGAATTATATCCGTGTGTGCATATGTAATCAAAGGTTTGGGGTCAGTATATATATTTTTTAAAATAAATTAATTTTTGTGCTCCGCAAGTAAATTCACACATTAAAATAAATAGTAAATAGGTTTTTAAAGATTAAAAAAAAATCTGAATAAATCACATAACTTTTTAAAATATATTAAAATAGAAAACAGTTTTCAAATTGTAATATTTCAAAATATTACTGTTTACTGTATTTTTGATCAAATAAATGCAGTTTAATGTTGACATGCAACCCTCTACATTGCGAGTAAATCACTCGCATATGCGACTAAATCTTCACTGTGGCGACTAAATGATGTCTAATATTAGCCAATGGCTAATAAATTCTCAGATTTTACTCGCCAGTGTGTGAGTTGGAGGCCAAGTATAAGGTTAGCGCCTTATATTTTATATTTTTTTAGAGATATATTTTCACTCGCCGAACACTCTCTGACTGAGCGCATCAGAGTTTCTCTCTCCGTCAAGCGATCTGTGCTGTTTTTCAGTTCATCTGAATGGATGTGCAACGCACCGCATGGACAGTCAGTTTTAAATTTTTTATCTGTTGCTATTTGATAGAATCCACGATGCCATGCATCTAAACAAGATGTCCAGGACCTCCGGCAGAAAAATACACCAACATTAAAGATCCAGCAGTATATTTCATTGTACTCATGGGGTACTGTTTTACTCCTGTGCGCACCAAACCCATCTTGAGTGTTTGCTGCTAAAAAGCAAATTTTTAGTTTTATCTGACCATAGAACTGGCGAGTAAACTAAAAAAATTACTAGCCAATGGCGATTCAATTGCCAAGGTGTCCGTAGAGGGTTGACATGTAAAATTAAAAGAATAAAATAAAAAAACTTTATATATAAATAGTTTACACAATATCTAAGCCTACTCACCATTCCTTAAAAAATATATATATTTCTTATTTTAACGTAAAATGTGTATTATCTATTAATAAGGCATTAGATTGCTTTTGAAACTGACATGAGGGAAGTTTAACACTACTTGGTTATGCCATTAAAATGACCAAATATTTGGTTATTAATCGAATTAGTTGATATGTCTGTCTGGTTGTGGATAATGTATGTTTTATATATTTAATGTAATATTATGTGGCTTGTTCAGGCTACAGTATGACTAAACAATGCAATGTCCAATATGCAATAATATTTATTATATATTGCATTATTAAATTTTTTGTTATTTCTCCTTATCCTCCAAACTTAGCATTAAATGCTGCATGTCTTGTGTTTTTGTTGATGATTTTCTGCAGCAGCTCTGTGGGAGTAGGGCTGTCTGTCATGGGTGGGATGGAGC